TAAAAATGCCACTCGGCTTTACTACATAGCCATCCAACTTGCTATATCTATGTAATATTCTATTGGAAACGGATACTACATCGAAATTCATTGACCTTAACATGCAAGAAAGGCGATCAGTGCAAACACCATTGACAGTCTCCAAGAAAACACTGTCTATGAACCGTGAATTCAAAGGAGATATCTCAGCTGAAATCTTTGAAAATCATCTCTCGACATCTGTGAGAACAACATTCCACTCAGCCAACCCTCGAATCTCATTCTCCAGTGGGCAGTTAATCCATCTATGCGTTAAGGATAGAATATCGATTTCCATCACCTTGATGTTATATTTCTAAAAAGATCATTTCTGGACATCTGACCCTTCTAGTAGTTCTTTCAAAGTAACTTGAAATGTTTCCCTACAATTCTGTAGGCCTCCGACTGCACGATTTATGCATAACCGATTCGTTTGCAGTTTACAACCTTAAACATGATTTGTGTGTTCTCAAACATTATATGCACTCACTAGCTTTACCATGGTCAGAACAGCGCTTTCCTTCACCATGTAGTGTCTATTAGTGAGTAACTTCCTTTGAGATGAGATTTCCCGAAGTTCTAATGATAAGTCGGGACTGATCGAGAAGACCAAGTCCAATATGAGGTCAGGTTCACTACAAATAGCAATTGGATGAAAGTGAGACTATATCGTGAATTGACAGGAGTAGGTAATTGTGCACCTTTGCATACAGACTCAGTGGTAGTGCGCTCGCCGCGAAATCCCAAATCGAATGAACCTGTTTTTCTTGCGTTCTACATCAGACTAAAACTGTACAAACCAAATACCCCTTTATGACCAATAATCTCACTTCTGGGAACTCCAACATACAACATATCAAGAGAACATTGAAGAAAACTGAAACGCCTCGTTCAATCATGCGGAAATTCCATTAAGTCACCAACGAAATTCTTAGTAAACATCAAAAGCGTCAACATGGAAATCTTATGGCGCCAACAATGGTCAATCGCACAGAGTTGTCGCACATCGTCAGCTGGAAGAGGGCAGGATTCACAGGCGTAAACCGGAACTACTCTCATCGAAGCGTTGTAAACCCGACTAACTTCGTGACAGCTTCAAAGGTGGCCTAGATTGATGTATGCTACTCCAGCTTTTCATATGCGGTTAAAAATCTCGTTACTCATACGTCCACCAGAATTCACACAACTACCCGGATTCGCGAATAACTTTTCGACTACATCCAATGGCTCACCACCAAGGGTGAGTGAAGGCACAATCTCCTGTCAATCTCGCAGACGTATTTTGCACTTCTATGGTGCATAGCACATACCATACTTGCGAACACCTATCTTACCTGGATGTAATTAACCGTTATGGTTTAAATTGTTCAGAATGGTTCATATTAAGCTTCAATTCGTTCTTCATTTCCCGCAGGATTTTTCTCAAAAGATTTCTTTTTGTTCAATTGTATCCGGTTGAATGATTTGTAGAAGTCTCATTATATAGGAGATATTGATGACCGAAAGGCGTGTTCATGAACTGATAGTGGCTATTTAGACGGGTAGCTCTGAATTACCACGGGCCTTTGTTCGAACTCAGTATTAAATCAAATGTCTGACTGATGAGCTCAAACTGATGTTTTGTTCTTAGTTCACTTATGTTTGGCTGAATATGGATTCAAGCGAAAGAGTTGGGTCAGACATATCAACATAGAACCTCATACAGCAGTGCATTGGCTAAAGTGGATGCAAAAGGAGTGATATTATAATAAGCAAAGTTATATGAGACACTACCACAACACCTCATGATCGGCACAGTCCAATACCGTATTCATGTCAAAAAATACAGCAAGTGTCCTCCACAAGTAAGTATGTTTGTATTCCAGAACCTGCCTAGGATTGAAGATCTAACCAATACACCATTGTCGAAGTCTAAAACTTACTTTGTTTTCTGGAGTTCTATATTCTCGACCTCCCTTTTTGGCGTGAGTTAATTTCGGATCCAAGGATCTTGGACACGATATCAGTCAAACTGATTCTATGGTAGCTGTCAAAAGAGGATTTCTCCCTCTTCTTATAGACTAGGATGGTCAATGAAGTACACTATTTCTGATTCTCATCAACTGCTGATTGTCTTCGTTACTCTAATTGGCAATTTTCTACGTCTTTCCTTAAAAGCGGTAGGTGGCAAACTGTTTAGTCCTGCTATTTCGCGTCGTTTAGGCTGGAAACAGCTTTCGCAACTGTAACGAGATTTGGAGGGCAGACATCTACGTCTCATTCAGGTTCAGGCTGGATGCTAGGCAACTGAAGCGTTGTTGAGTGGCAGTTGAAATGTACTTCAAAATGTTCTAGCCGTCTATCCTGGGAGGTTCTCAGCGTTTCATTCTTTTTGGTGAAGATCTCACTCACCATTGTCTTCCTGTTGCCGGTTATTACCTAACTCTGATGTTTTCACCATGCACCACTGCTCGCAATCATTGTGGAGAATCTCAGTTAATTTACTTTTAAGCTTCTTTTGCTAGTTATTGTGATCAGAGCCGACTGGAGTGAGTCTTCTCTCATGAACCATTTCAGATGATGTTGCGGAGATCCATTGTCTTCTAACATTTGTGTGTAGTTTACCAACTGTCTTTACCGCCTTAAGGTGTAGTTTACTTGTGTAATCCAGTTACTTCTGGAGCGCACTGAATATCTCCTCAGGTTTCCTCAGGATGAGTATAACTGCCACTTAGAGATAAATGCTTAGCTATCTCCTCCATAAATACGTATTTGACCTTCTCATCTTCCAATCGGGCATGGATAGGTATTCGAGGTACACTTAAACAACTGAACACGTGTTTATTCGACTTATGAGGAAATGATGACTTACTTTCAGTTGGCTTTAATCTTTTTATGAGGACTGAACTATTGGATATATACTTCTTGAAATTTATCATACAAATCATGAATTCCTTATGATATATTTCTTTCGAACTCTTTTAAACGAGAGTGCTCGACATCACTATGGCTTGTCATAGGATGCCTCACTGTTCGTACATTCAATTCAAATATGGTTTCGATGATCATTCTTCCAGAAAGGCTTCGCATACTCATTTCTATTGACACAGTTTCTTAAAATCATCAACTTCATGTTAACTTTTGCTAGTTTTACAGTGAAACGCAGGAATTTTCTCAATTCTTATGTTATTTGCTTGATGGTGGGTAACAGTGGAATTCGGTCACCGCATTTTGTCCTTCTTGGGACTCGTCAATTGAACCTGTCTGCATCCTCGTGGGTGATAGTGTTCTCATTGTGGTCACTCGAATTCAGCACTCATCGTTTCAAACGCAATACAGTGTTATTCACTAGGCTATTGACTCAGTAGAGCCACGTCTTGGGCAAAGAGTAGTATAATTTGTTGTTCATTAATGTTTGTGGTATCTCCTTGATGATTAAACTGAACTGACTGAATTGAATGCATATGCCAAGAGTGACTGGTTATTTTTAGAAGCGGACCATAAGACAAGCAATCCATTTTTATCCGGAATCCGTGAATTGAATAGTACCTAGAAGTGAAGTGAATGTTGTTGTTTTCAATGGAAGATAAACTAATCACGAACTGTTTCAAATATTATAGTTTGATATGTAGCAAACCTGATTATCACAAATTCAAATGCTGCTGTTGAATGCCATTTTAACTGAGAGATATGTACCCTTGTATTGAATTGTATTACTCAATTGAGTCAAGAATCGTATGTCACCTGCATTTCAGTTTGCTAACTGAATACCTAAAGAAGCTTGGATTGTGAAGTGATTCGCTACTAACGACAATTCATTTGTAATTCAAATTTGTGCACAAATTTTATCATTAACACCAAATAAACATTATGAAATGTTAGAGAGGATAAGAATTTAGAAATTGCCTTTCAAACTACATAGTATCCCTGATTGACTATTGGCTACCTAAAGGTCAGATCACTTTCGTGCGACCTTGATTACACTTAAGAATGTGCAAACTGCCTATCAGCTTGCATAGTGTCGTTGATTTGCTATTGGTTGCCTGAAGGTCAGCTTATATTTATATGACATTCGTCACGTGTTTGCATAAGAAATGACTGTAATTATTCATTATCATTCTGGAGTTTGTCTTTGAGGTAGCCCGTTATTCAGTTACAGTGGATTAGTTATATGAGGTCATGAACCAGTTTTATTTTCAATCATGGCATTTATTATTATTAGTCCCTTGGGTTCCTAGTGGAACATAGGGCTTCAGTAACACGTCTCCAGTGAACTCTGTTCTCTGAGATCTTTTGAACTTGGTTCCACGACTGCCCAGAAGCTCTCATTTCCTCCTCGCATGATCTCCTCCATGTCATCCTCAGCTAGGATGCCCAACTCGTCGCTTCCCATGGGGATTCCACTCGAGGGCCTGACCTAGTGCGTGATGTCCCCAATCGGCCTTCTCAGTGTATGACCAGTCCAGTCAATCTCCACTTCCTTCCAGTGCATATTTGTTGAGTGATAGGTTCTTGGTTGGTTCGTTGCCAGTCAGCCAGAGTTCCTTGTAGCTTATTCGTATTATTCTGCGCCATCTGAGCTTCTTTAACGAGTCAGCGTATGCAGTTGTTGATGAATGTTTGTAGTTTGTTGGAAATGCCTTTCGTGACGCACCAAGTCTCTGAACCATACAGAAGCACTGATTTGACGTCGGTGTTGAAAATCCAGATGTTGTTCTTTATGCTGAGTGCAGTGCAGAAGATCTCCACATTGGTTTCAGGCTAATGAAGGCCTGTTTTGCTTTTCCGATTCTGACTTTGACATCCTCGTCTGTCCCGCCTGTAATCATGGTATTTAGTTAGTTAGAATTATTCTAACAGTAATTTTCACATAGATTCGGTTTGCAGTTATTATTGCAAAAGAAGTAGAACTGATTTTCCAGCTGATAATGATCTTTACAAATAAGATTATATGATACGGAATAGGTTGATACTTCAGTTCTAATTTATTTATTTTTCTTTAAATGTCAGTTTATTGTTGCATAGAAATTATGTCAAAGAAAAAATTGTCAGAAAAGCAAAGAACTGAAATTATCAAAAGAGATAATCGTAAGAAAAAAGAAAATGATACTTCAACTGAACAAGTGTCTGTTGTCAGTGAGTTTGTCCGCGATTTTGTCCGACGTCATGTGATTACAAGTAGACGTAGTCAATCTGATTTGTCCTGGCGTCCAGGCTCTAATATCAGTCATAATATTAATCTTTTGCCTCAGTCTACACTAATTTATACACCTAAGAAGAAGACAAGCATTTCAAATGATATCCTTACTAAAGTGAAGCATCGTAATGTTCGAAAGAAATCGTTACTCAAGTCAATAATAGACAAGCCACCGTCAACAATTCCATCTAATCTACCATTACAATTGAATCATTTATGGAATGATTATTTTCGATCAATTATATCTCCTTCACATCTTACTACATACGCGAATATTGCAAATAATTTGGATACAGTTTTACGAATGAACCTAAGTGGTGCAAAGCTGAAAGTTGTACGCTCGAAATCATGTCGAGTAGGTGATGAAATTGATTTGTTTATGTTTTCTAATTATTATTTGTCTGTCTAAAAGTTTCCGTTCGTGTTAAAATTCAATTTACCATCGTAGAGATTGAGATTCAGCTTACTTTGTCTTTGATAACATGGATATTGTAGATCATATGGGTTTCTTCCTACAGTGTACTACATGATGTAGATTATAAATGGTGCGTAGCAGTGGAATCCAAACCGTGCGTTTCATCCTAATTAGGACTCGTCAGTTGGATGTACTTACCACCCCATTGGCAGTCAAACGCCATAACTTTATACACTTGACCACATAATCATGATATCCACTTCTTGTGAAGTGGATATAGAATAATTTTGATGTTATCGCTTTTAAATCTGCTTTGTTCATTGGACTGGATTGATCGGTAATTAATAGTATAAGGGCTCGATATATTGGGTACCACATGGTTATGCGTATCAGATATTGAAGAAGACATCAGATGAACATAGAATAAGTTGCTTACAAAAAAAAAGAAGAAACTTCGAACAATGATGTAGTTTTAGTTTAAGAAATAGGAGACTTCCATCTAACTTCATCTTTAACTGATTATTCCTATCAGAATTTTATGTCATTTGGATAAGTTGTATAAATTAAGAGGAATGTATAGGTGAGAGTGTATCTTGTATTGTGTTCAACTGTGAACTATGTTGCAATCAAATTCAAAGTATTTTAGGAGTTGATATGTTGTACATTGAACGCCTTGGTCATTGAATCAGTGAGTTTATCTTTTTAAATGAATAATTTAAAGTGATACATTTTAAATGATAAATTATACAATCGTAGAGAATTATCTTCTAAAGAATGAATATTTTATTGGCTACTTGAAAATAACATTGTAATTACGTAGTACAGGTTAAATCTATGACAGAATAGAGATATGAATCTATGTCAGATGATAAGGCTTTATGAAGACCATGGCAAAGATAAAGGTTGGATGTAGCTTCCTCGATTAAACCACTCGAAGGGAGTAAAATCAAGGGATCTGTCTATAAAAATGTTCGATCTACAGGAAACCTACTTGGACAGGTCAGTATTTAAGTTTCCATAGCTTTTGTCCAACCCAATACAAGTAAGGTTTGGTAACTTGCCTTTTTAAAAGGATCCAGCGTATTTGTACACAAGACTCAATAGGTGATGATATCAAAATACTAACGGAAACATTAGTGGAAAATGGATATCCATTGAAGTTCATGAACGGCTGCAAAAATCAGCAAAGATTCAAACCTAATCTGTATTATGTTTCGAAGAAATCCGTTTACATCGCGTTACCATACAGAGGAGAATCTAACAGCATAATATTAAAACGAAGGTTAAGGTCTGCTGTTAACAAAACGTACTATGCAGCTAAGCTTATCATAGTTGAGAAGACCAAACACCTGCTGCAACCTAAACCTCAACGTTGTATAAACGATCGTCACATCCCACTGCATTTATAAATTCACATGTGCGTGAGTGGACAAACATACATTATTATATTATTATTATTATTTGCCCCTTGGGCTCCTAATGGAACATAGGGCTTCAGTAACACGTCTCCAGTGAACTCTGTTCTCTGAAATCTTTTGAACCTGGTTCCACGACTGCCCACAAACTCTCATTTCCCCCTCGCATGATCTCCTCCATGTCACCCTCAGTTTGGATGCCCAGCTGGTCGTTTCCTATCTGGATTCCACTCGAGGGCCTGAATTAGTGCGTGATGTCTCCAATCGGCCTTCTCAGTGTATGACCAATCCAGTCAATCTCCACTTCCTTCCAGTGCATATTTGTTGAGTGATAGGTTCTTGGTTGGTTCGTTGCCAGTCAGCCAGAGTTCCTTGTTGCTTATTCTTATTATTCTGGGCCATCTGAGCTTCTTTAACGAGTCAGCGTATGCAGTTGTTGATGAATATCTGTAGTTTGTTGGAAATGCCTTTCGTGACGCGCCAAGTCTCTCAACCATACAGAAGCACTGATTTGACGTCGGTGTTGAAAATCCAGATGTTGTTCTTTATGCTGAGTGCAGTGCAGAAGATCTCCACATTGGTTTCAGGTTAATGAGCACCTGTCTTGCTTTTCCGACCGTGGTTTTGACATCCTCGTCTGTGCCGTTTGTAGTTGAAGCAGTGCTTCCTAGATAGGTGAAGGAGGCTACTTCTTTTAAGTTTCTCCCGCTGATGGTGATTGGAGTTTGTTGTTGGTTGGTTATCTTCATCACCTCTGTATGATTGTGACCTTCCTTCCTTTTGAGTTGAACCTTGCTGTCATGATCCTGGAGGGGATTGGTTCACTTCATTGTGATACCTTCTCGTCTCGTTTGCAATCTGGGCTCCCTTGCTGGGTTCATACATGGTGCGGACATCCTATGTCCCCACGTTTACTTTCGCTTTCATCGAGAGAGGACATATCGGCCAATTAGTTTCCCGAAGGCTTTCACCAACTGGCATCATTTCGCCTCTCCGATTCCAGCGAGGAATAATTTTGTTATTATTTTTTATATTTTGTTTGTGCTTTGAAGTTTCTTTAGCGGTTAGATTTGTTTTATCCAACCTCCCCTCTTTATATGGGCTTAGGACCTGCTAGTAACTGGTGAACTAGTTAACCAGGCGAGGTTACAAACATACATAGGGAGGACTAGTCGTGATATGCACTTGAGGGTAGGGGAACATATTACAAAATGGCTACGAAAGCAGCTGGATTCACAAACATTGATAAGCTCAGATGGCAGACAACCATCATCCGCATCCATTGCAAAATATATCATTGATAAGAGTCACAGGATTGATATTAAAACAGCCTTTACAATTTTGTACAGAAACTGTCAGGGGCGTATACTTAAGTTTGTTGAGGCGCTAGCCATAAATAAATTTAACCTATCATTGTGTGTGCTAAAACGGTTTGTCCTTACATTAAGCCTACCTTGGTGATGCTTATTTTATCATATTAGCAAGATTGTCTTCATGTCTTATCTTTTTCCGCTTTCATTATCTTTCTTATTATTGAATTCCTTTATGTCATATTTATCCTTCCTCTACTTCCACTTTTCATATATAATGCCTTTTGACAAGTAGATCTGTTTACAGCTGAAATACTAGCGATCCAAAAGTTCAAACCTGCGTTATGCATCTAAAAAATGTACCTCCAACCTTTATCTTTGCCGTAGCTATCATAAAGCCTTGTCTTCTATAGATTCATTTTGTATCAGTTAACTAACTACACGTATATATCTTATTCATTTTTTATACTCTAGCATAGATTTAACCTACACTACGTAATTACAATCTTTCTTTTCATAAAACTCTGTTTAATTTCTACTTGTATTCAAAACAATACTACCCTTGTTCACATATTTCTATGTAAAATAAAACATGAGTATTGTAGAAGGGTTGCCAATAAAGGAAATCTGTTCCTACACATACTTTAAATATGTAGAAATAAATGGAGATTTGAAATCCACGATTAACAATATGATGGTAGTGAATGAATCAAGGAAACACAAGATTAATAGTTACAAATCTTACCTAAAATCAATGGCGATTTATACACATCTGATGAGATAGAAAAATTCTGCATTTGTGGAGTGGGATAGGGGACAACAAACGAGAATTAGTGTAAAAGAAGAGATTCCTTGTGAATACATAGGTCAGATTGATAACGTTTGATGGTGAAGGCTTCCGTAATAAACATGGTGTTCGTTGTTTCTTGGTACCAGATACCTCGTCATTGTGCACTTAAAGACCCTGCTACCATTCAGACGTAGATTCCTCAGAATGTGCTCATAAGATCGAGTACACGCCCTTCTTTCAGTGCATTCTATGTACTTGCTTCCACAAACACAGGTGGATTGATATACGCAGTTGGAGGTGACTTGAGATGGGTATTTGTCCACTTTCGACTGGCTTATTTACCACAGTGTATTGTTAACTGAGATTAGTCTGGCATCAGGGAAGCTTCTTTCCAGTGCAGCTTTTATTCTTCTGTCTATTCTTTCAGATATCTCATCATCTTTGAATGCTAGACGAAGTAATTAATACAAGCTTCTTCTCAAATGTTGGGTGATTCAGTCTCTCAATAAATTCTTTCCCATGCTTCATGATGAATTTCTTCGGGTATCTATTCTCTACAACAGCCTTCTCAATTATCTCGAATTCTTCTGCTTGTTTATCTTTTGAACACAACGTTTTTATTCTAGTGAATAGCGTCCTGACTAAGTCACGCTTATAGCTGACAGGACAGAAACTATTGTGGTGAAGGTACTGACCAATCCACGTGTGCTTTTCTGTGGATAGTTTTCTCAACTGTATCATAACATCTCCAACTTATATTTAGATCCAGATGACTGAATCTATTCTCATTTTCATATTCCATTATAAAATTCACATTTAGATGAGCTTGATTGAAGGTGTCGAATAACTTAGTAAATCTATATAATTTTTTGCATCGGTATGTGTCTGTAGTCTTCCCCTTTCTTTCTATTCCATCATCCCTTCATTGATTACTGACTGAATATTAATCACTCAACAATTTTCAAGTTTTTCATGTAATTACGTAACTTATTAGCTCTTAAACAGTCCCTTCTTTTACACTGATTTTCTTTTTTTGTCCCCCGCCCACCCCACCCACTCCACAGTTCCAGAATTTTCCATCTCATCACATATAAACAGCCACAGATTTGGACTAAGATATGTAACTATTAATCTTGCGATTCCTTGATTCATTCACTACCGTCTTATTGTTAATCGTGGATTTCAAATCTCCATTTATTTCTTTAAATGTAAAGTTTGTCATGCCATTACTACTACTATTATTTATTGATGTTATTTATCCCTTGGGTTCCTAGTGGAACATAGGGATTCAGCTGTAAGTCTCCAATACACTCTCTTCTCGCCAGTCTTCCCAACCCGGCTCCACCACTGCCCACAAGCTTTCATTTCTTCCTCACACCATCTCCTCCATGTCACCCTCACAAGCCAAACTCGTCCTTTCCCGTTTGCCTTCCATTCGAGGGCCTGGCCTGGCGTGTGATGTCCCCAAATGTCTTCTCACTGTATGTCTAATCCAATCCATCTCCACCTCCTTCACGTTTGTTGGGCGATGAGTTCTTGCTTCATTGGTTCGTTGCCAGACCAGAGTTTCCTCTTGCTTATTCTTTCTGCTCATCTGATGTGATCTTCAGTATGGAGTGAGCGTAGACGGCAGGTGTTCATGTATGATATGTATAGTTTGTTGGAAATGCTTTTCATGACGCGCCAAGTTTCTGGACCATCACATTGAAGTCCTGACTTGATTTGATTAGTGTTGAAAATGCGGATATTGTTGTTTATGCTGAGTGGAGTGCAGTAGATCTGCACAGATTAATGAAGACCTGTCACGGTGTTTTTCTGATTCTGGTTTTGACGACCTCAATTGTGGCGCTGCCTGTAGTTGAGACGATGCTGTCTCCTATGTAGATGTAGGTGGAAGAGACTACTTTTGTTAGGTTTCTCCAGTTGATGGTGATTGATGTTTGTTGTTGGTTGGGTATCTTCATCACCTCTGTCTTCGCTACTCTCATGTGAAGTCCTGTCTTCCCACCCTCGCCTCTTCTGTCAATTTGTTGGTTTCTCCCTCTATATCTTCGAGTTTGTGTGACTAAACCATGAGGTATAAATCATCATCGGCGAAATTCAAATATTCTAGGGTTTTTTCATCGGTCAAACAGCGTATGCTCATCTCACTCCTCACAGTTTGTTGTATAATTCAGTCCACCACAGTCACGTATATCATGAGTAATAGTAGGCGCAACCTTGTCTTACTCCTTTTTTCACTTCAAAGGCATCACTGAGCTGAGCTTTCCATTGTGAATCACTTGGTATGTCGAATGAGTTTGATAAAGGTTTGTGGCACCGAAACCGTAGTGTTGAAGCAACTGCTAAATTACTTTTCGGTCGACGCTGTCGAAGGCTTTTTCAAAATCGATGAAGTTGAGTTGAGTTGACTGCCATTCTATGCTCCGTTCCATGATGATGCGTACTGTAGCGTTGCAATTCGGTCCGCACATAATTTGTTTTTCCTAAATCCAGCCAGCCTGTTCCGGTGATAATTTTGAATGCAGAGCATCTTTTAGTCTGTCCAGGATGATGCAGCATAATATTTTGCTTCTGGTGAACAGCATCATGATTCCTCTCCATAGAGACTTAAGTCTCCCTTCTTTGGGAGTTTTACATGATACCCGTTCTTCTAGTCGGCAGGTACCTTTCCTTCCTTCGCTGCAAACCTTCTGCAGTAGTGGTGTGACTAACCCTTAAATATGTTTTTTGTCATGGTATAACAATAATATCTCCAAATTATTGCCATCCTAAAGTCTTTGACCGGACGTAACTGAGATCGAATAAAGTTGGATGAGAAGGTGGATATTTTTGTCCAGTGATCAGGTTGTTAAAAAAGGATAGCTGCCTACATGTAATCTGTATTCCATCCGATTTTCTATGACTACTCTGACCATCAACTCACATGCGTAACGTATCTTCTTATTTCATCTAATCAATAAGTGATCTACAACAAAACATATCTGTTTATCAGTTTCAGATTCTTTTTACGTTTCATGCCTAAATTTTCTCAGGCCTAATGTGTTGCTTAAGAAGGTTTTTATATTAGTTGTCAATCTTACATGGACGATGTTACTTATGAGTATGAATTGTAGTGGTAGAATGTGTTGACTACTTTGCTTACTTGATGAGGTGACTTGGATATATGTTGCGCATACCGAACTCGACGAGATGTACTAAGGGAAGTTGGATCACATTAGAGGAATGCTCAAGGTGGCCAGACCGAGACTTAGTAACCCGTCTATGAAGTCTTTGACTGGTGGTTTAAGTCACTTATGGAAATGTAGACTATTTGACATGGGGTCTCTAGATTATATTAATTATTTGTCCCTTGGGTTCCTAATGGAACATAGGGCTTCAGTAACACGTCTCCAGTGAACTCTGTTCTCTGAAATCTTTTGAACCTGGTTCCACGACTGCCCACAAACTCTCATTTCCCCCTCGCATGATCTCCTCCATGTCACCCTCAGTTGGGATGCCCAGCTGGTCGTTTCGCATCTGGGTTCCACTCGAGTGCCTGACCTAGTGCGTGATGTCTCCAATCGGCCTTCTCAGTGTATGACCAATCCAGTCAATCTCCACTTCCTTCCAGTGCATATTTGTTGAGTGATAGGTTCTTGGTTGGTTCGTTGCCAGTCAGCCAGAGTTCCTTGTTGCTTATTCTTATTATTCTGCGCCATCTGAGCTTCTTTAACGAGCCAGCGTAGGCAGCTATTGATGAATATCTGTAGTTTGTTGGAAATGCCTTTCGTGACGCACCAAGTCTCTGAGCCATACAGAGGCGTGGGCTTGATAGGCATTAATTGTTTGCCACTCTTGCTAACATGCCTGAAAATCGGATACCATGACACAGATGTATTCATTATTTAACGTCTTCCATAGTGTAAACATTTTCACTAACCTTTATCTTGAAACCTCTTCTCCTTCGATACACCTTTGTCTACTTGGACTATGGTTTCCAAGTGGCTTGACTAAGTGGTTTTACGGTTCTCTCTTCATTATATACTCTCAATTTATCGTGTTTTTTTCCTAACAAAGTTAATTTTCGCTTCTCAAAATGATATTTATTTCTTATATAATAATCACTTAAAGCTTATCAATTTATGATTACTTTTCTTTATTTATAACCTTCCGGTTTCATAGTTTTTTTCCTGTCTTCTTCTCTTTTCTAGGCGGGTATTGAAGGTATTGTTGTCATGGAAACAAAAAATACATTTTCTCTGGCTTTAATATCATTGAAAAGTCAATCATTGTTGAATCAATCATCTTTACCACTTAATATTATCCCCAAAATAGGTTCATTGTTCTGTTTGATATTACCTATACCAAATGTTGATGATAAATATGAAAAAGTTGATATTCTACTTAGTGGAGATTGTTTAGCATATCGTTCAGTTGATAGAGTTATACGTAAATGGAGATATACGCCTACAACAGCATATGAATATAATCAGAATGTATTAACAACGGAGGCAATCTTTTCAGATGTACTTATTGATAATCGTATACTTGGTTAATTGTTTGCTGCTATTTTTTTTTATGTATCAGACAATATAACTTTTCAATGGTTCTTTCACGTAGGTACTCAACTTTTTAACAATGAATGTCATCTTCACACTCTCCTACACCTATCTACCTTAGTTCGAACCCCGCTCCACCTACCGAGTTGATTTGGTGAAGCCAGATAATAGTAGAATTAGCATTCACATAGACAAAATCAATGTAGAAACTTTCACAAAGGTGTATCATCTCAATTTACCACACTTTACAGTAATATACAAAAAGAACACTGGTGAACAGAAAAGGAGTGATAACAAAGTTTTGAAAGACGTCAAGACGTGAATATATCTGCATTGTTGTGATCGATTTTCAATCATGTCGCCAAGAATCGTCAACCGCTGGTTCCTTTTGTCTTGAGAACCCCAACCAGGTAGTCTACATCTCTCCACACGACTCACACCAACAGTCAGAGACTGTTGGAATTGATGTTAAGTCTTAGCCTGGCCAAACGGAACCCTTTTTACTGCTTAATTCAATTTCTCCTGGCATAATACATTGTGGCAAATGGTCCCTGCTGCATGAATATGTACATGGTTGCTAAGTGAATTTCGATTCGATTCATGCTCGGGATATTTTTAATTCTTTTGATGTCTTGTTAGTAGATTTTATTGACTTGGAGTACACGAACGATTTATTCGTTGTATTTTAACAATCTTTAAGATATTCCGAATGAATATGAAACTACTTGCTATGTATTTGTTATGATCCACAGTGTATATATAACGATACAAATGCTCCGACGCGATACGATTAACGACAGAACAATGACTTCTGAACTCGATATTCAGTTGATACCAGAAGAAGAAGACAACGTGAGTGAAAGTATATTTACTTCAACCGAATCCCCACAGCTGAAAATTCAGTTATTTATATATCCTTAGATGGCCTTGACCGGAGAAAACAAAATAGCGTATTAAAAGTGTATAATGGACCAATCAGCGTTTAGTATCCTAAGCTACAGTAAAAGTAAGTAATAATAATAATAATGGCTTTATTCTGTAAGGTATTTCGAGAATACTCTACAGAATTTTCAGCACGTCACATAGCATCAGTCGGATAGAGATAGAGTACATGTATACATAGCAAAATCAAATGAACAGGAATTAAATAAAGGAAAGATAAGAAGAGTATTCACTGCATCTACAACTTCCTTGAAAATGTTCAGTTAGTTTTGGTAGTCAGTCATATTAGCAATTAGATTCATAATACATAAATAGTGACATGCTCATCTTCAGTTAGTTTGCTTTCAAAAACAGAAGTTGACTAGTGTTGAATTCATTTCTAATACTTCCTTCATTACACAGGAAACGAACTAAACACGTACGGTACTGTAGAGTTTTTATATTTTGTACTACGTGTATAGAGTCTTATGTACTTGCTCCTCCTTGTCTTCCCAGATGACCGAAACGCAGAGAGCTGGTCATCAGATAAAATAACTCCTCCCAGATGTTTACATGAGCTAAAACGTTCGTCCACAACTGTTTTAACTAGAAGGTTTAGAGGTACACCACTAGCTCTGTTGAGAATCTCCAAAATTTTACGCATTACGGCATAGGCGTTTTTCCGCAACCCCGGCAAAAATAAACGAGAAGAGTAGAAGAGAATACGTAAGATTCAGGAGTTTATAAAACACGAGAGGAGAGGCTGAGTAATACCAGTTACTTTCAGCTTCGTAATATAAAAAGTTAGGCGGAAAATCCTTTTGGAAATTAGTAAGTTATGGAAGGACCAGGAAAATTCCGAAGAAAAACGTACCGAAATAAATCACACTTGTAACATTCTCTAGTGTACAATTATCAATGTAACAGGAATCATGATAACTAAGAAGTTCACATAGGTAATGTTCACGTCCGAAACTAAAGTATTTAGTCTGACATTTTGAACAATTAAGCACAAGACTATTTGCGGAGAACCATCATCTAACAGTAGATAGGAAATCATTCAGTTAGAAGCAATCTGCTGAAGTGGAGATAGATATGGAACCTGTCAGGTCATGAGCATATTTGATGAAATCGATACCAGCTGAAGATTGTAAGTCATTCAGAAAGGAAGGGAAAATACATGGGGAAAGGACGACTTCTTGAAGAACACTAGTTACTGTAAGCAATGAGGTGGAGCGCTTCCCTCTGTGAACAGTATTATGTTTACTATCAGAGAAATAGGAATACAGCAAGCTGATTATCCAGGACTCGGTATTTGTCCCGGTTAGCTTGTTCAGCAGTAGAAGTCTTTGAAGAGAATCAAATACCGAAGTATAGTCTAAAAAAGCACACCTGACATACTTGACATTTCTATCAAGAATATGACCAATATTGTGATATAAGACATTGGTGGTATCCAGAGTGCATCTTCTGCTATTATATGCAATTTGATTAGGGTCTCCGAAAGCCTTCAATGAGGTTCGAGCACAAGTATTATTAGCTTCTCCATTATTTTTAGGAACGGAGAGGTAACTGAAATCGTACGGTGTTGTACATGAAGAAAGTAAGTGAAATCGAATCAATTCTGATGAGTCAGTTGCTGATGAAGTCTGTACACGAATATAAATGGCTGGATTAACTTTTCCTAATCGTCGATTGAGTTTACTCACTGTGTTTTACAGTTTATTCTGTCTCACTAAATGTCTGTAAAACATAGTCAATAACAGCAGAGGATATTAGAAGGTTCCGTGTATTCGATTAACATTGTTTTACAGGTATTGACCGTGTATCGCAAAACGATAACGTTTACAATGTAGAGTTTAGGCATACGTGTAGTCGAAATCTGAGTATGTTTGGCATGTGTTTCCCACCTTTGAAATGTAAAATGAAGCCCCAGGACTGATCTGCTGCAAGTACTCCAGATTTAATGATGGGGAGTTGAGTGGTGGAATGTGCGACTTCAAGTAAATATAGAGAAGACATAGGTGATGAACATAACCAACCAACAACAACAAGCTCCAACCACCATCAAGGGGAGAAACTTAAAGAAAGTAGCCTCCTTCACCTATCTAGGAAGCACTACTTCAACTACAGGCGGCACAGACAGTTGAGAACGTCAAACCCGGCCAGGATCGGAAAAACAGCATGATAGGCGTTCGTTAACCTGGAACCAGTGTGGAGATCTTCTGCACTGCACTCATCGTGTGGAATAAGATCTGGATTTCCAACACCAACGTCAAATCAGTGCTTATGTGTGACTGAGAGACTTGGCGCGTTACGAAAGGGATTTCCAACAAACTACAGATATTCATCAACAACTGCCTACGCTAGCTCGTTAGTGAAGATCAGATGTGAAGGTGAGAAAGAATAAGCAACAACGAACTCTGGCTGGCTGGCTATGAAGCAACCAAGAACCCACCACTCAACAAATATATAGTGGAAGGAAGTGGAAATGGATTGGGGATGCAGTGAGAAGGCCAACTGTGGACATCACGCGTCGGGCCAGGTCCTCGAGGGGAACTCAGATGGGAAACGACGAGGGTGACATGGATGAGATTGTGCGATGAAGAAATGAGAGCTTCTGCACTGTCGTGGAACGAGTTTCAAAAAATTTCAGAGAACAGAGTTCACTGGAGACGTGCTACTGAAGCCGTAAGTTGCACTAGGAACCAAAGGAACAAATAGTAATAATAATAATACTAGGATTAGGTAGTTTGTGTAGGTATTTAAAAATTCAAGGTCATTTCAATCTATTGATTTATTGATTAATCGTATAATCAAGCTAATGCATGCTTTAAAAAGTGTTCACTTTTTCTTATCATATATCATTACTTAAAACAGTGATAGTAATACATCGATCATCTTATTTATATACAATGAGTAATAAAGTATGTGAAGTTGATTTAAAGATTGAAAAAACATCTAAACGACAACGAGAATATATTTATAATTTATTATTGAATAATAACTCAAAAGTAATAACACAACATATTAACTTACCAAAAATTAACACCAACTTATTCAATGATGAAGGTGTGAAAAAGTATCCGAATAAAACAATGAAACAATCAGATCATGAAAAGATACTATCAATTGAACAATTGAATAAAAAATATGATTATTTAAAAAAACATAGTAAAAAGCCATATATACCGATGGATGCATTGAAAAAGACTCATTGGATAGAGAAATATCATAAAAATATTGTAAATACAACAGATGAATTAAAAAAAGTCACTGATGAAACCAGTACACATTTATTTATCCCAATAAAACGTAAAAAGTCTACAATTAATTGGATAACTAAGAATGTAATGGCTGCAATGACATCGAAACCAGGTGATCGTTTACTATTGAAAGGCAATAAATGTATAGTTGATGATATATATAAACATAAACTTGGTGAAATACCAAAATATTTAATAAAACGTAAAAAACTGAAAAAATACAAAATAATACGGGAGATTATTCCAATGAAAATTTATTAACTAGACAACAACGTGAACAATTATTGAATCGATTAAAATCAGTCTGGGATAAAAATAATCGAATATATCTTGAATTGATATCCATTAATGATACATTGAAAGGTAAAGCTTATAAATTATACTTAGAGAAAAAATTGGATTCCTTAAAAAAGGATATAGAATTGATTGAAAATCATCAGTTTATCTATGTTGAAGCACCAAAAGAAATGAAACAGTAGATAAGAACTAGCCAAAATATTATTTATGCTTAGTATAGATATATGTTTATTAGGCAAAGAATATTGTACAAAACAATAAGCAGGTGTTATAATTTAGCAACTGGTATATACTATGGCCTCTAACAATGCACGGATATAGAGTGACAGTAACCAACATCCAACAAATCCCTATTTGATTCTCGACCCGACTAATTCATACAGAAGACACGATACACGTGTATTAACGTGTATTGGAGTGGAAAGATCGAAGGAGCAAAAACAAAGAAAGATATATCTAATAAATAGATAGTTCGGTTTTTAAAATACTCCTATTGATTGCTTGATCCATCGTCTTTCCGTCCGTCTCACTGTACAGTATACATTTTGAACGGTCCCTCTTCAGACTAATCGTTCCTCTCTATCCTCATATCACCTCCCTCTTCGAAAGAATGCTATTTAAGATCAGACTAAGTGAGCAAGATATGAGCAGGAAAATCAGCTATCAAGCCGAGAGACTTATTTACCGTTTGAGAATGGGATCTGCGACAATACCTGGAAGATGACATTTGTACACGTTGTTGTGTGTTGTCGTCAAGATCCGTCCTTATAACCCTCAGCGTTACAGTCCTTGCATCGATGTTGTTTAAATGGAAAAGATTTGACGAAACGCCAGACACCGCAATGATAGGAAGGCGATAGGGGTGTCTTCTTCGAGGTTCGGTTGGTATTCCATGAGTTATTGTGTGGATGAATGCGGAGGAATGATATGCCTGGCGAATCGCATGCACAAAGTTCGGATACACAAGCTCTGTTCTGCCGGAAGAAGTGGCTGAACAAGTAAGGCAGACACTATTAAAGACACACCTTATGATGTTTTGAAGCAGGAGGTGCTGAAAGCTACTTCGTTATCTGACCAGAAGGCTGTCGATCAACTACTAAGTAGCATATGCCTCGGTGACAGAACACCTTCACAACTTAAGCGACATATGCAAAGTCTGCTGAAAGATAGGAACGTAGACAACCGTTTATTCTACCAGCTCTGGCTGCGGAGACTTCCTTCATGCATTCAGCAGATATTAGCTGTCGGAGATGCGGACATGACATTGACAGGTTGGCTGACATCGCTGACCGTATGTACGAAAGGATGCCTAAACCGGTTGAAAGTATTGCTGAGCCAACGCAAAACGACCGAGTGGCCGCTTTAGAGAGGAAGATAGACATACTTACAGGACAACTGACGGCTTTGCAGTTAAACCGACGGTCACCGAAGTTCTGTAGAAGCAGATCCCGTAGTCGTGATAGGACCACGAGTAGAATTGCGTCTAAAAGTAGCACGTGCTGGTATCACAAGAAGTTTGGCAGTAAAGCACGTCGTTGTTTGTTACCATGCGATTTTAAAACCTTTTCATCGGGAAACGGAAAGGCCGGCGATCAGTGACGACTGCTGTCGCCGGCGTACAACAACACAGTCGTTTGTTTCGAGTGACGGATAGGAAGACTGGAGCTCAGTTTCTGGTTGACACTGGAGCGGAAGTGAGCGTGATCCCACCCACACCTTCCGAAAAACGCCATCCCAACCCAACTTTGGTACTACAAGCGGCAAATAGATCTGCTATTACTACATATGGGACCAGAATTTTGATCCTAGACATTGGCTTTCATACACCATTCCAGTGGGAATTCGTCATAGCTGACATATCGTCGCCTATCATTGGCATGGATTTCCTTCAACACTACGAACTATTGGTCGACTCTAGTCGCCATAGACTAGTCAGCCGTAATGGTGAATTTTCTATCACCGGTATCGCTACGGAGACAAAAACAATAAACTTAGTCGTAGCTCCAATAAACAACACTTCCGAGTACGATATCCTTCTGCGAGAATTTCCCGAGCTCACTCAAACGGATTACACGAAGTCCTCTCCAAAACATACGGTGACGCACCATATTCTTACAAAAGGTCCTCCAGTCTCATCGAAACCTCGACGCTTAGACCCTAAAAAGCTGCAGATAGCAAAACAGGAATTTGATAAACTTCTAAAGTTGGGAGTTATGCGCCCTTCCAAGAGCCCATGGTCATCACCCCTGCATATGGTACCTAAAAAAGCATCAGGGAGAATACGGCCTTGCGGTGATTATCGAGCGTTGAATAAGCGTACGGTCCCTGATAGGTATCCAATTCCTCACATACATGATTTTATGAACTCTATGACAAAAAAAATATTTTTTCCAAGATTGACCTCGTGCGAGCTTACTATCACATTCCTGTGGAACCCAATGATGTTCCTAAGACGGCCATCACTACCCCTTCGGACTATTCGAATTTATTCGTATGCCGTTTGGTTTGACAAATGCTGCTCAAACATTCCAAAGATTTATAGATCAGGTACTCCATGGCTTACCTTTCGTCAGTGCATACATAGATGACTTAATAGTAGCTAGCGCATCTGAAACAGAGCACCTGCAACATCTGAGGACGCTTTTCGAACGACTGCGTGAATATGGCATTACAATCAATCCGCAGAAATGCGAATTTGGCAAGGAATCCCTACAGTTTTTGGGTCACATTGTTAATGCCAACGGTGTTAAACCGGTTCCGCAAGAAGTAGATGCAATTCGAGAATATCCTGTTCCAGACTCGTTTCGAAAGCTGCGAAGATTTCTGGGGTTAATAAACTTCTATCGACGTTTCATACCTAAATGTGCTGAAGTAGCCCAACCGCTGACAGATTTATTGCAAGGACGAGCCAAAGTGTTTCACATGACCCAAGCGGCCCATGATGCTTTTGACAAACTGAAGCTGGCTCTAAGTTCTGAAACTCTTCTCTCTCGTCGTGATTCAGAAGCACCACTAGCAATCATGACAGACGCTTCAAATGTTGCGGTAGGCGCAGTACTACAACAGTTTGTTCACGGTCAGTGGGAACCATTATCTTTCTCCTCGAAACGACTTAATGCTTCTCAATCGCGATACAGTACATTCGGCAGAGAGCTACTGGCGATTTACTTGGCTATCAAGCGCTTCAGATATATGCTCGAAGGGTACTCATTTATAGTATTCACCGACCATAAGCCACTCACAAAAGCAATTGATGCAAAGCATGACAACTACTCGCCCGAGAAATTCGACATTTAGAATTTATTTCACAATTCACTTCAGATATAAGGTATATCAAAGGCAGCAAAAATGAGGCAGCTGATGCTTTGTCTCGCATGTACGTAAACGTCTTAGAACGTGACCGTATTGACCTAGCAGAAATGGCAAAGTTGCAGGCGACGGATGGGGACTTGAAACATTTGAAGAGCAGTGCGAACACCTCATTACGTCTTGAAGTAGTGACACTTAATGACTCCGTATCCGTCACCTGTGATGTACCGAAGGGTAAACCGCGCCTGTTTGTATCTTTATCAACGAGACAATTGGTCTTCTCTAAGATGCATAGCATTTATCGCCCTGATATTCTGGCTCCGGCGAAGTTAATTACTTACCGATACGTCTGGCCAAAGATGAATCGAGATCTTTGACAGTGGTTCACAGCTTGTTTAGCACGCCAGCGATAGAAAGTGCAGACATATTCTCTCACCTACCGGAAGATTTCCTGCACCGCATGGCAGATTTGACCATATACACGTTGACATCGTTGGACCACTACCCAAGTCATATGGTCTTAGCTACATTTTAACATGTGCGGACAGATTCACGAGATGGCCAGTGGCAATACTTCTGCAGGATATATCTGCCGAAACAGTGGCGAGAAATATCATCCAACACTGGATTTCTAACTTTGGTGTCCCAAGTGTCATCACCACAGATAGAGGTGCGCAGTTCGTGAGTAGTCTATTTCAACAGTTAACTGAACTTCTCGGGATCAGGCGCATAAGAACCACTGCGTACCATCTTGCATCCAATGGTATTGTCGAGAGGTTCCATCGACAACTAAAAGCAGCGCTGATGGCAGTAAAGACTGATAACAAGCGGAGTGACAAATTACCACTAGTACTCCTTGGTATACGTTCGAGTGTCAAGCAGGACATTGGCTGCTGTGCTACTGAGTTAGTTTATGGAGCTACTTTAAGATTGCCAGGAGAGTATTTTAACCCAGCAACAGACGTTTCACCGGACTTGGCTAACTATGTACAACAACAACGGCGACACATGAGCACATTTCGACCCCAGTCCCCACGATACCGAGACAACCAAGTTTACGCACCTCAGTGCGTCTCAAACTGCACCCATGTTTTTGTCCGACACAATGGCATGCGAAAACCCTTACAGCCGCCGTATGAGGGATCTTTCAAGGTAATCAGTAAATCAGACAAAGTTATCACGGTCAAACGCTCGTATAGACGAGAAACGGTCAGCATTGATCGAATCAAAGCAGCGTTTATGGAGCCAGATGTCACGGATACCAAGTATGAACCTGCAGTGAAGCAGCCGTAAACACCAAAAACCACCGTCAAAACAGAAACAGCGACATCGGAATCAGCGACGGTAGCAGAACCACGAGATCCGGAAGAAGAGTCCGTTGGCCACGACGTAACTTTCAGACAATTTACATTTCATAAAACCAATTCCCTAGTAACATTATTGTCGTTTTTGCTCATTACCTTGTTGAAAACATGACCACACGATTTTGTCAGACGTTTCCGCACACACAAAACGAAAATTTTTTCCGGGCACTACGGACTTCGGAATCTCCTGTTTCCTAACAATGTTCCAGGTAATACGATTTTGGTTGTTGATTTTTTCTTATCTCCAGATGTATTATTACTTTGGTAAGGTTATTTTGGCGTTTCGAATGTCATACACTTCATTTTTATATAAACACTCTTCCAATCAGTTTTCATCCTGATAATAGATATCCTTAACATTCCTTCTGTGTTTTAATATCTTCAAAATGAATTTACTTTTCTCATAATATTTTACATGGAACACAGATGTTCCCTCTTATATCTGTATTCTGGGGAGGGACTTACGCAGCGTTTTATTTCGCTGTATTGTGTTGATATGTGTAACAACT